CCTCGGTAGAGTGCTGTGGCATCACAGCTCACAGCAACCTCCAACTCCTGGGTACAGGCGATTCTCCTGCCTCACCCTCCCGAGTAGCTGGAACTACAGGCACCTGCCACAACGCCTGGCTATTTTTTTGTTGCAGTTTGGCCGGGGTACGGTTCGAACTTGCTACCCTCGGTATATGGGGGCCGCACCCTACCCACTGAGCCACAGGCACCACACTTCCAGTTGCATTCTTAGAGCTGCCTTATTTTAATTTTCTTCCTGTACACTTCCCTCTGCCTTCTCACTTCACCATGGGCTGACTTTGCGTGACTGCTCCGTTACTGAGCTCTTGCCATGGTTGCTAGCGCACTCCATTCCTTTGCATCCACTGGAACTTATCCATGGTGACCCCACTGGATTCCTGCAGCCTGTGTACCCACAGCTGCTCCCCTCTTGGGATTCTCCTCTTGGCCCCCGGTGATATGTGACACTGTAATTTTCTTGGTTTCCTGTTACCTGTCTGGTTGGTCTCCTTCATGGAGTCCTCTTCATTTGTCCTTCCTTAGCAATCAATCTGCCCCAGAGTATGTTCCTCAGCCCTCTTCTTTTCTTATGCTACACAACCAGCCAAGATTGTCCTCATTCACCCCCTTGCCTACACCCTTATACCTTTTACCACCTATGCCACAATGACTCTTGCATCTATATCTCTAATCCAGACCTGTCTCCTGAGACTCAGACACATGTCCACCTGCCTTTTGGACTTCCCTACTAGATGTCCCACAGGCACTAAAACAACATGTTCAAAATTGACCTATCTCTTTCCAAATAGCCTCTCTCCCCATGTTTGTTCAGCCTGGTGAACGGTACCATCATCTACTCATTGACCTAACCATGCAGTCAATAAAACATGATATCTGACAGTCACCCCAACTCTTCTCTGCCTTCATACCCACAAATAGCTCGTCACCAAATTTTGTGCATTTATCTCTCTATTTTCTCTCCAATCTACTCTCCATTCCCATTGCCACCACTGCTGGTCAAGAGCACCACCTTCTCCCTACTGCTTCCCTGCAATAGCCTCCTTACTGGTGTCCCAACTTTCTGATTTCCCTTCTTCTCTCCATTCTTCATAGTGTGGTCTTTCAGAGCTGCAAATTTGCTCACAGAAATTCTCTGGTGGCTCTTTACAGATCTCAGGAGGAAGTCTGAAGTCCCTAGTATGACCCTAGTATGCAGGGCCCTGAAAGATCTGTCCTTTGCCTTCCTGTCCAGCCCTATCTTTTACCATTCTATCATCTTTCTTTCTTTTTTTTTTTTTTTTTTGAGGCAGAGCCTCAAGCTGTCCCCCTGGGTAGAGTGCCGTGGCTTCACTGCTCACAGCAACCTCCGACTCCTGGGCTCAAGCGAGTCTCCTGCCTCAGCCTCCCAAGTAGCTGGGACCACAGGCCCCCGCCACAACACCCGGCTATTTTTTGGTTGCAGCCATTAATGTTGTTTGGTGGGCCCCGGCTGGATTTGAACCCGCCACCTTAGATGTATGTGGCTGGCGCCTTAGCCGCTTGAGCCACAGGGGCCGAGCCTCTATCATCTTTCTTTCCTCTCTCTCTCCTTCCTTCCTCCCTTTTGTTGTTTTAGAAACAGAATTTCACTTTGTTGCCCTTGGTAGAGTGCTATGGCATCATAACTCATAGCAACCTCAAACTCTTGGGTTTAAGCCATTCTCTTGCCTCAGCCTCTCAAGTAGCTGGGACTACAGGCACTTGCCACAGTGCCCAGCTATATTTTTGTAGTAGTTTTCATTGTTGTTTGGCAGGTCTAGGCCGGGTTCCAACCCGCCAGCCCCAGTGTATGTGGTCAGTGCCCTAGCTGCTGAGCTACAGGCACTGAGCCTATCCTTCTTTTGAGATAGAGTTTCACTTTGTTGCCCTTGGTAGAGTGCTGTGGCGTCATAGCTCACAGCAACCTTAAACTCGTGAGCTCAAGTGATCCTTTTGCCTCAGTTTTTCTATTTTTAGTTAAGATAGGATCTTACACTTGCTTAGGTTGATCTCAAACTTGTGAGCTCAAGCAATCCATCTGCCTCGGCCTCCGAGAGTGCTGGGATTACAGGTGTGATTCACCTCACCTGGCCTCTAGCCTCTGTCTTGATCATTCTCCTTCCTGTGTCTGAATGGTCTCTTTACCCCTTTTCCCCTTCTGGCAAGTTCCAGCTCAGAATTTCTTCCTCTGAAAAATCTTTTCTGACTTCCCAAGTCTACGTATGGTGTCTATTTAATTTTTTTTATGTTTATTTATTTATTTTTTGCAGTTTTGGTCAGGGCCAGGCTGAAGCCCACCACTCCCGGTATATGAGGCCAGTGCCCTACTCCTTGAGCCACAGGCACCACCCATGGGGTCTATTTCAGAAAGTCAGCCACTGTGTCTGCTGGTCCACTGTCTCTTCTAATATTGAAAATGCATCCTTTATTGTTTCCCAGAAAGGGCACCATGGACCCACCGAGCCTCGTCCTGTTTGCTTACAATTGGTGACACTACTTGAGGAGATGTAGTTAATTCACAGACTTGCCATTTATGTAATTTTTCAGCTGCAATAATGACAATAAAAAATGAAAAAAATTAATTTTCTAGCTGTAAAATGTATTGGAAAAAGTGGAATAAATAAGGCAGTTAGTATGAGGAAGTGAAGTGGAAGATTACCTAGAGAGTAATGGTTGATGGTAAAGACTCCAAGGTTGTTGATTTTTATTGCCTTGGTTATTAATTAGAATTTTTAGTTGTAAGCAATAGAAAGTGTTCTGTCTAATTTAGGTTGCAAAGGAATTCATTAAAATGAATTCTGACATCACAGACTTCTCAGAACCAGACATAGAGCTATGCAAACAGGAGCAGTGCCCAGAGCCGGGCTGCAGAACCTGTCTGGTGAGCAAAACTCTGCTCCTGCTGCAGAACCAGGGCACTAAAGCTTCCACTGCTCCTGCTAGTGAGCCACGAAGCTCAGTGTTATTACAACCTCTTCTGCTGGAGAGGAGGAATCTTGTACCATCCCTACTCCTTTGTAATACTAAGTCCTGATTCAAAGTCTAGGTGAGCCTTGTTGGTTATGTGCCTATGACCCAGCTGCAAGAGAGTTGGGAAAAGCAAGTGGCCAGCAATTGTCAGCTTCTATAATAGGAAGCATGTTTTTTTCTTTTTTTTTGAGATAGAGCCTCAAGCTGTCCCCCTGGGTAGAGTGCTGTGGCATCACAGCTCACAGCAACCTCCAACTCCTGGGCTCAAGCGATTCTCCTGCCTCAGCCTCCCAAGTAGCTGGGACTACAGGCGCTTGCCACAACACCTGGCTATTTTTGGTTGCAGCCGCCATTGTTGTTTGGCGGGCCCAGGCTGGATTTGAACCTGCCAGCTCAGGTAAATGTGGCTGGTGCCTTGGCCACTTAAGCCACAGGCGCCGAGCCAGGAAGCATGTTTTGCTTCTCCAACTATTCCTAACTTTTTTTTTTTTTTTGAGACAGAGCCTTGAGCTATCCCCCTGGGTAGAGTGCCGTGGCTTCACAGCTCACAGCAGCCTCCAACTCCTGGGCTCAAGTGAGTCTCCTGCCTCAGCCTCCCAAGTAGCTGGGACCACAGGCGCCCACCACAACGCCCAACTATTTTTTGGTTGCAGCCGTCATTGTTGTTTGGTGGGTCCAGGCTGGATTCGAACCTGCCAGCTCAGGTGTATGTAGCTGGCGCCTCAGCCACTTGAGCCACAGGCGCCGAGCCAACTATTCCTAACTTGAAGGATTTTCCAAACATAGCTTTGGCACTTACTGAAGAGATCTTGTGTTTTACTATTTTCAGTCAATGTCCTGAATTATGTTAATACATATTCAAATTTTGTATTATTGAAGGCTTGGAATTAAACCTACTTGGTCATTATTAATTATTCTTTTTTTAAATTTTTTTTTTTTTTGAGACAGAGTCTCACTTTGTCACCCTCAGTAGAGTGCTGTGGCATCATAGATCACAGCAACTTCACATTCTTGTTCTCAAGTGATTCTCTTGCCTCAGCCTCCCAAGTAGCTGGGACTTCAGGTGCCTGCCACAATGCCTGGCAATTTTTATTTTTAGAGACGGGGATCTCACTCTTGTTCAGGCTGGTCTCAAACTGGTGAGCTCAGGCAATCCACCTGCCTGGCCTCCCAGAGTGCTAGGATTACAGGCGTGAGCCACCATGCCTGGCCTCTATTAATTATTCTTTTAATCTGATTCTGTTGATTTGCTCACATTTTATTTATTTATTTATCAAT